GGCCACACCACCACTCTTTCCTGGACAGCCTGCTCCCTTCTCACAGACAAGGCCCCTCTTAGTCCCGCTTGCTCCAAGAAGGACCCCCGGGTGTCCATAACACAGAGTGAATGCGCCTCTTCATGAAGTGCAGGATGGACATGTCAAAGGACATCACTAAACCCTCTGCTCTGCTACTGTAGACCCCATCTCCCTCTAGAAAAAAAGCTCAGTGACGCTATCATACATAGAAATGAGTGACAGATAGGGGAGGGAGGGGGTCACATGCCTGAAAGTGAGCTCAGCAACCAAAGGAATCGACTCACAGGGAAAGGTTTGGAACATGACATAGTGTCATACAAATGTGGCCCGAGCTCCTGTCCTTTTATGTCTTTATTGAACTCTACCTATGCAGGAGGCCCCGAGTTGGGTGGTTCAGGAAAGGGAAATGGTACCTAAACCCTGAACACCACCTGCTAAGGTTTATGGTTTAGTTACACCACAAAGCTGAATCATAAGTCATCCCCATAGAAGCCTAGCAGCCAGCCAAGTGCCCCAGAGAACCCCACCTCCAGAATTCCATTTCTTTTTATTCAACCCCCATGAAGCGCGTGGGGCTCAGTTCCCTTCTCTCACTGGGAAGCATTCTCTTCCACAGCACCATCCTCTCCGAAGCTTCTTATTGAATCTTCTCCAGGAGTGTGTGTGTGTGTGTGTGTGTGTGTGTGTGTTTTACAGTAAGCTCGCCCCAGACAAAGTACATGTTGCTGAAACCATCCTGCGCTATCTGCAGAATATGCCGTCCCCACAGCCTGGGAATGGATGGCGAGGCTTCAGCTCCACAGCCTGCCTCTAGCAAACTCATCCGATTGGGCAATGTGGCCAATCGGCCGAGTAAATGCCGGACCCTGGAGTCCAAGAGTCCCCATGAGCATCTAAGCCCACTTTCAGGAGTCTTTAATGGTAAAGGCAAAGGTGTTTTCGACGCGTACCGAGAGAGATGGCCTGATACCATAGGAAAATAGGTGCATTGGGAAAGGTGACTCTTGTGTCTCAGCAACAGAGACACGGGAGTTGCCGAAGTTTCTCAAATTCCACCACCCCCACCCGGAGCTGCTGGGGTGACGAAAACTTCTGAAGAGTGGGAGCTGCCTACACTGACGAGCCGAGCTGAAGCCCAGCGCCCAGATTACCTCCCTGCGGCCACTACGGTCTACGGGTGGACTTGCCATACCCCCGCAGCACGGGTCCCCTTGAAGCACGGCTTCGGTGCCACCAGCACTGACACGAGTTGCTTCATCTCTTGGCTGGCACATGAAATGCCAGGTGGAAGCAAAGTGTTGAAATGCAGGAATAGAAGCATCCCCACCCGAGGCGTGACGAAACACTTGGAAGAAGCCTTCACAGGCCCTTGGCATGCGTTTAGGACAGCAGGGGAGGGGGTGCTGGGGCTTGACTTGAACAGGAGCACACCGTGCCTGAGGGCAGAGGGGCAGAGGGCCGGTGGGAGGGGCTCCTGGGCATTGGCACAGCTGCATGGGGGGGGGGAAGCCCCCCCAAGGCAGAAGGTGGCCCGCAAATTCAGCTCTTGGAGTCCTAGAGAGTCTCACTGTCTGGTCCCACGTTCCAACCTGAGTCTAGTTGTCCCCAAAATGTCCTAAAGCTCCATGGCTAGGAAAAGGTATGCAGAATGATCTGGCCACCCAACAGGAAGGGAAAGGGAAAGAAGGAGGGAGAAAGGAAGCAAATAGAGGGCAGAGGAAAGGACGAGGAAGGAAGGAAGAGGGGGGGCAAAGAGGGAAAGGGGAGGTGAGGCAGAGACGGAGAGAATGAAAACTTTTGAGATGGTGTCTGTAAGACTGCTGGTCTGAAGGGTCCAGACATTCCTTCTCCAATAAATGGCTGGCTGTGTATGAGTGTGTGCCCGTGCTGGCGTATTGTGCAGGTGTATTAGAAGGGCGTGTGTGCACCTGTGTGCATTTGTGTTCAAGCGTAGTGTGGGAGCATTGTGTGAGTGTGCATGTTTGGGTGCTTGGGCGTGCGGCTGTGTTTATGCATGTTCACGTGTGTACATGTGTGTGCATCTGTGTCAGTGCAGCATCCTGGAATAAACACAACCCTGGAGTAAGTCTCAGGAGAGATGGAATCACCTCCTGATGGACCATGTACCCGTTGTTATGTGAGCAAATGATGTCAGCACTCTGGCCTCAGTTTTTCCCCCATGTTCAAATTTCTACAAGAGTGCCTCGCACATACTAATTGCTCAAGAAGTATTTGCTAAGTAATTGTTATTTGGGGAAAATGCTGCTGACTACTTGGGGTTGAGAAGGTACAAAGTGAACAATCTATGCAGAACTACCCTCTCTGGGCATGCACATGAGAGAAGCCCAGTAGCTGTCAACTTCAGGTTTTTCCCTAGGGAGGAAGGAAACTGAAGAAGGAAATGCTGCGGACAGACACAGGCCTCTCACCGCAGCCCCTTCCCTGGGGCTGAACAAGTGCCACTGAATAAGACAGCACCCTTGGCAGATTCTTGAGCCACTTCCCAGGGGCTTCTGAATTCCCATTATGTTATACATTAGCCATGCTTCATCTTCCTTCTCTCAGTCAAAGGTTGGCAGTCATTCATTTGCAAAAATTAAATGCAAGATTGAATTTTAACGACTTGAAAATCTGAGGTCAGCTTTGCTTTTGGTGACCCGGGGGGCAGGAAGCCTGGTAAGTCATAGGAGGGGTGGTGTACTTGTGATCACAGTCCTGCAAGGTAGGAATTATTATCCTCATCATCCTGTGAAAGGAATTGAAGCTCAGAGAGGTCGGGTAACTGGCCTGGGGCCATAATGTGCACTCCAGGCCTCCAAAGCTGCCTCCAAGCCCAACAAGAGACATTCAGAACGGAAGGGTAGAAGTCTGCTCGCCCCTGCAGGCAAAATGAGGTCTCTTGGTTCTAAACCCACAAACATCTTAAAATCTCTGACCAGTCAGCCCCGGTTGAGTATTGGCAGATGGAGCCAGGGCCATGTGGCAATCAGAAAACTAGTCAGGTGGCACTGGAACGGTGCCTCTGAGGTATTTCACAAACACGGGGAACAAACACATTTGGTGTCGCAATCCTGGCCACCCGGAGCTGCCGCGTTGGCTGTTTTTTGAGAACGGACTATGGATAAGGAGTTTGAGGGCTGATAGCGCTGGGACACCAAGGTGGGTGGCCACCTTGGAGACCGTCCAGCCCTTGGAAGACAAGGGTTTTCAGCCCCCCACCCCTGCAGTTACAGCCAGAGAGACCCACTCTCCTGAGGCAGCTAACACTGCTCCAAAGGCCCCACAGTCCTGGTTTCCCACTGCCCCCTTGACAGACTGAGGGCCCAGGCCAGCTGGGTTCCAGACAGGCCTGGTCCTCACCACCTCCGTGCCCAGGAAGCACCCCGCCCCCTCCCCACAAAGAACTAACTATCCATCCCATAATCCTCCAGACAAAGGCTAATGAGGACAGAATCTCAGGGTGTCACACTGCCCTTGAGATGACCGTGCACTGGTATGAAGAGTGCTCTAAACTCGGAGCACAGCAGCAGACACATTTCACTTATTTTCCCACCTAATCTCTTAGCACCTGCCTGCCTTAAAGCAGGACATTCAGCATCTCCTCAAGGATTTTCCTCCCTTCCCGACAAATTTTCCCAAAGCCCCATGGAAGGCCAAGTGCAAAACAAGAATGAGTTCTCTCCAGAGGCCAGGCTCAGAGGAACTGGCATCTCTCGAGTTTCCAGCTGCCACAGATCCTCCTGCCATGATTCTCTCTGTCATGGATTCCCACTGCCACACAGTGTCACTGTTGAAGCTTACACCTACAAAATTTCTTGGATTCATACAAATTCCAAAACCGCATTCCTGACCCACAGCCAGGCGCCCCATGTTGAGCTCTGAGAGTGGCATTCTCCTAATTCCTTTTCTCCTACTCAGGCTATTTCCCAGGGTACAAGAGGACATCAGCAACACCGAAGGGAGACCTATTTTCCAACACTCACAAATCCCTCTCTCCCTGCCCTGTAGCCACTGTAAGGAACACATTCTTGCTTTTGAATCTCCAGAGAGGGACATGCTTTTGAATATGCTTCCCTGGAGAGAAGGAGGGCTTCCTGCTCTGCACCTGCCCTTCCCAGGGGAGCTGGCCTTCTCCTGCCTAGACCTGGATGTCCCCAGCAACCTCCTCACCAAAGGACAAAAGCTCAGGTGCATCTCCAGCACCTCCTGTTAAGCACCTGCCACCTTTGTAGGAAATTTCAGGACCACAAGGCTGCATAGCCAGAGGATAGCCATTGTATTTGGGAAGGCCTGCTGTCGGCAGGGCATTTTGACACCAATGATCCTGATGAATCCCAACCACAAGGAGGGCGAGGAACCTGCATTTCATTAAGGAAATACAGCTCAGGACACTGAGGACCGCAAGCTGCAGGGATAAACGTTGTTGGTTGTTGGCCTAAGTCTTTCTCCTGCCCCCAGAGAGTCTCAGCTCGCTTTCCGACCCCCAAAGCTGACTGCCAGCCAAGTCAAACTAAAGAAACACCCAACCAGCCTTCAGGGATAAAGGAGTCACAAAAGAGTGCCTCTAGGCATGGGGCTGGATTGGCAGTTGCAAATGATATAATAATGGCTACTCTCCCTGCTGTGCCCAGACCCGAGCTACACCAGTGAAGAACGAGGACTGACTCCAGCACAAACCCAGCTCTGAGCTCACCACGAGGGAAAAGACTCACTCTCTCAGTACTCTGACTCAGTGTTGGAAGAAAAGCATGCTGTGGGAAGAGGGAGAGAAGAAGGCCCAGAAGAGGTTCGCTGACCTCCACTGGCAACAGCTTGGGCAGACCCCCCCCGGAGGAGGGAACTTTGGCCACACATAACAATAACAGCCACCGGAAGGCACCAACAATGACTGACCGCTTGTTCTGTGCCAGGCACCCTTTAGGTCCTTCTCATAAATATCACCTCATTTAATAACTCTGTCAGGCAGGCAGTGTCGTTACCTGCATCACTAGGTGAGGACACGAAGCCAGAGCCAAGGCAAAGCAGTAACCGTCAAAGCAGAGATTCCATCCCACGAGGATCTGAATTCATCTGCCTCCTCAGAGGTGAGCCTGGGACAAACAGGGAGAGGAAGTGGGTGTCCCAGGAGGAGGCAGGAAGGGAGCCACCTCAGCAGGGGAGGAAGAGGGGGAGGCCTCCCTGCTTCCAGGAGCACAAGTAAAGGAACCATTGAGACTACTGGCCCCAGTGTCCGAGTATAAGCATGGTGTGGGGGCGAGGACAAAGACCTGTTTCCCCAACAACACTAGCCAAGACTTACCACGGTCAAGGCAGGGGCTAGGCTTTTGCCAACATTAGCTCATTTTCATTTTCATCAAAACACTGTAATAATTAAGGATCACATACAATAATTGGGACTCATGTGTCAAGCATTGGTCTAGATGCTTCTATATGTTTAAATTCATCCGATCCATACAACTCTATATGATAAGTATTTATTATTATTATTATTATTATTATTATATCCGTTTGACAAGAGGGAAAACTGAGGCATGGAGCAATTAAGTACTTGTCACCAGGCAACGCGGGTGATAAACGTATCATATAAACTCAAGCAGTCTGGCCCCGTTTTCCCTCTAAGGTAGCCATCACTGTCCACATTAGAGAAACAAAGAGATGGAGGCCCAGCAAGAGGGCAGGAATCATCCCATCTTTTTGGTGGAAAACCAACATTTGAAACCCAACATCCAGGCTCTTCACCAGGTGGCAACGGCAACCCCATCCAGCCACTTACAGAAGGCTGTCCTCAGGCCACTTGCCCCATGCCTGAGCGCCATCACCTGAAAAAATGAGGAAGTGCCACCTGGACGTTTCCAGGGCCCTAGTGGGAGCTCCCAGGACAGAGGGGCAGTTTTAACACCATGGTGGCCAACACCTGAGAAGAAGGCTAACAGCTTTGGCAGGGAAACCACAGCCTAACCCTCAACAGCCACTCATTTGCATGAGGACAATTTGGGGTTCCTGCCACCACTCCTTTTCCACCTTTGTGGTACAGTCTCCAACATGACCACCACCAACAATTTCTCCCACCTCTACACATCGCTCCTCCACTCATGCAGAGTCTGTTTTCCCTCCCCTCAAATGTGATCAGGCCTCGTAATTTACTTTGCCCAAATGAATGTGGTAGAGATAATGCCCTGGCACTTCTGAGCCTGGCTCCAAGAGTTTGGGAAGCTTTCTTTTCCTGCCTCTTGGAATCCAGCTGTCAGACTGCAGAAAACCTCCGACTAGACGGCAGAGATGAGAGACCACGGGGAACGGGACCTGAGGACGAGACACCGTCAGGTTGGATTCAGCGCTCTTTCCGCACCTTTCTATCCTGCTTCTCAGTGAAATCTGCCCTTCTGCTTCCAGTGAGAGCTAAGTCACCTGCATGCTCCCCTCAGGACCTGTATGTCACAGAAGGCCCTTGCACATCCCCTAGGATCCAGCAGGCAAGAATCCCTGAGGTTCAAATGTCAGGCTGCCCTGAATCACACGCAGGGTGGAGACTGCCGAGATGACTCAGGTTGAGGTGAACTTACAAATGCATGTGCCAGAAACCAGGCTCACACCCCAGGTGTGTTAAGTAGGATCTGAAGCGTCAAAGCCTTTGTGCTGCAGCTGGGGCTGTGAGTCCTTCCCACCTTGCCACCCCAGTGTCCACCATCCCGTGTGCATCTGATGGAACACTCCATTCATGGCAGATGGCGCCCGGGCTCTCCGCAGCTGGCATGACTCTCCTATCCGAGTGCAAAGCCAGGACGACGGGAAGATTGCAGGCTCATTTGCAGCCTGGCTTCCAGCCACGTCCCCACAATGACACAACTGCCTCCTCCGACGAGCACTTTCCAATCTCCAACTGAGATCTGTTGGATGAGAAGCCAGTTTCCACCACAGCCAAGCTCAGGCAGCTGTGGGTGGGGGTGTGGATGTAGCTCTCTTCCACCCCGAGATCTGGGAAGAGAGAGCTCATCTCCTTACCAGCCAGAAGGCCGGCCAAGCCAAACAGGGCTTCTGCTCAGGGCCTTGAGGAACCAAGTGGGAAACAGCCCAACCGCCAGGACTGTGACAGCCAAGGTCAGCAGAGAAGCATGCTCATCTACCCCTGCTGATGGAATGGTCCCAAAGGGAAAGATTTAACTTGTTTTAGGAACTAGTCAGAGCCTGGCTTGGGCACGCTGCCAGGGTGTTACGAGAACAATCTCTGGGAAACGGGGAATGGAGTTTTTGCCAAGCAGATTGCAGCTGTGGAGCCTGAGATTCAGTGGCCCCTGATATACAGCCAGCCCCTGATTCCTGGGGACCTCCCTGACCACTGCCAAAGCCACTGGCAGTGATGAGCTGACTGGTGTTCCCATGCACTCGGGGTGTGGGAGTCCCTGCTGCACTCAGGCATCCCACTCAAGCTGAGGAAAGAGGTGCAAGAGGCAGCCTCTGCCCTCGAGGACCTTGTCTGCGGCCCTCAAGTAATCACAGTACAATAGGGTGGATGCTGCAAGGTGCAGCCGCTCCGGGAGCCCGAGGGAGGAAGGAGAGGCCTGTCTAGACGACCCAGGGGGGTTCAGCAGGACTGAATCATGAACCTGGCCTTGAACGGGGAGCCCTGATCAGCTGGCGATGGTGGAGGGCCTCCTGGGTGGAGAGAGTGGGCTTGGGGGATCCCAGCAGGTCCTTCCCACCCCGCCCGCCAGCCCCGGCCTGCGGTTCAATTCTCTGCAAGAACCATTTTCAACGGACCCCTGATTCCACATCCTCTCTTAACCTAGGAACTTAGTTCATCCTTTTCCTGAAGCAACCAAGAGACATTTACAGAACCCTAAGGAGCCACTGGGAGCCCCAAGAGCACCCCACAGTTTGCATGAGGCTCCCTGAAGCAATTTTTTTCTCAAGCAGTGAGCAGCTGGGCATGAGGAAGATGATCCCATTTAGAAGGCCCCAGAAAATTCAGGAAGAATCTAGAATTACTCAACAGGACAATTGTGAAGGAAGAGAGCTTTGGCCCTCCAAGAAAGTGCCAGTGGAAAAAAATCCAGGACCATTTCAGTATTGAGCAGATGTTCCAACAGGGAAGGAAGCCCTCAACACAGACCTTTCTGTAACAGCAGCCACCCCTCTCCCTCCCAGCCTCATACCTAACCTCTCGGCCATGACACCCATAGACCTAGCGCAGGACTCCAGCCACTGACAGCAGGAAAGGCAGAGTGTCACCTTGCCAGCTAAGAAAGATCCTTCTGGCTGGGCTGGGGAGGCACCTACGCAGCTGGGATTAGGAGGCCACCTATCTAGAAGACAGGGAAGGGAGGGAGGGAGGGAGGGAGAGAAGGAGGGAGGGAGGGGGAGGGCAGGATGGAAACTGTTGTGTTTCTTTTCACTTCTGAACCAGGCTGTGAGGGATATTTCAGTGACCCTACTTTGCAAATTAGAAACTGAGGCTCAAGGCTTTTAAGGAACCCGCTGGAGGTCAAAACCCTAGTAAACAGGGATTCAATCCAAACTCTGGGGACTCGGAAGCTTATGCTTTTTCTAGACAGCCTGGATAAAAATAACTGCCACAAATCAAGAATCTGCCACTGGCCAAGTCCTGGGAAGGCCCTTTTTAAAAGAGGATCACGCAGCCTCACTGAGCAAACTGCCCTGGCAGAGATGTCCAGCCCAGCTGCCTCTCCTGCCCAGAAAGGGCAGCCAGGGTGGCCACAACAGTCGGCGCCCAAACAAGCAGGGCTCTGACAGGGGGACACGCCCAGTAATCACGGTGAGCAGCAAGTACAAACAGTACGGTCCCCTGTGGTCACTGTAGTCCAGCACTTCCCAGCCAGCGGCAGTGTCCCACCCCCACAGCCCCCAACAGCACATCTGTCAGAAGAGGCTTGGAGGTAATCCTCCCCAGGTCCCTCTCCACCCTTTCCAAGAAAAGGTCGTTAGCCAGCCATCCTTGGGCATCTCAGACGCTGATCGCACCAGTCCAGTAGGGCATGTGAAAGAAACTAGTCACGTATTTAATTATTTAGCTTTTCTATGGAACTGAAAATGTTCCATTCAAGGGATTATCCCGTGCCCTGAGACCACATCTTTCTAACTTTCTTGAGGTTAGAAATGTCATTTCTTTTGGGGGGACTGGGGATTGAACTCAGGGGCACTCAACCACTGAGCCACATCCCCAGCCCAATTTTGTATTTTACTTAGAGACAGGGTCTCACTGAGTTGCTTAGTGCCTCGTCATTGCTGAGGCTGGCTTTGAATTTGCGATCCTCCTGCCTCAGCCTCCAGAGCCACTGGGATTACAGGCCTGTGCCACCACACCTGGCTAAGAAATGTCATTTCTTTGGATTACATAATAGTTATAACAGATTGCAGTTTGATTCAATACCTTTAGTGAGCAAAACTAAAAGTTGGGATCATGATGATGTTGGCTCTATTGGTTGAATTTATTCACTGTTTTGCCCCCTTTGAAGCCATTCAGGGCACCAGGTCTATCACCTGCTGTGTAACGTCCCCACCATCCAGCTCCAGGACTTCATCATCCAAACGGAGGCTCTAAGCCCATTAAACACTAACTATGCCTCTCCCCCTAGCGCCGGGCAACCCCTGACTTTCCATTTCTAAGAATTGAACTGCACAGGTTCCTCCAAGAAGTGACATCATGCAGTGTTGCCCTTTTGTATCTGCCTTATTTCACTGAGCATAATGTGCCCTCGGGTCTCATCTGTACTGTAGCCTGTGTCTGAATTATTTTTTCCTTTTAATAGCTGAATAATATTCTGTTGTGTGGATGTAGCAAGTCTTGTTGATCCATTCTTTCACTGATGGTGCATTCCCTGAAGTCACTGATTTACCTGTGCACGTGCTAAGTGATGGGCAGCTGCTTCCTGCTTCCCAGGCAATGCCCACACAACTTTTAGCAGAGAGAAGAAACCCCTATCTTCTTTCAACCACCACTTGCCGAAGGGACTTCTCAATTGATACCATCAATAAGATCTGGTCCCTAATTCCAGAAACTTACAACCAACTGTGGGGTTCAGGGGTTCCCAATGTGGAGAGCAGCCATGGGCAGCCGGGAAGTCAACAGGGTTAAGTGTCTTACCCAGTCTGGTCTCGGTGGGCAGAAGAAGAGCGCTGGTATCTCCCCAAGGAAGGATTGGGTCATCGGCCTGGACTTGGGTTAGGCAAGGTAGCAGTGTGAGGGGTCAAAACATAGCAATTTCTCCTTTGGAAGTGACCCAGTGGGGCAAATGTCAGACACGCGCACCACGTGTCACCAGTCTGTTGGCACACTTTGCCTCACCACCATCTCTGCGTCTGGTGGTGTGCTAGGCCCTGCGGGGAGCACAGGAAGGAGAAGATGTGGCTCCTGTCCTCCAGAGAGTTATTCACACAGGGACTCCCCAACTTTTATGTCTGGGAGGAGTTTGGGATGGGAACCTTGGTTTCCTGGACTCATGTTTCCATGTGGAAGGATCTTATGAAAAGTAACACCTCCTGCCTCATTGAGAGGTGTAGACACTTATCTCATCAGTGTGTTCAGGAGAAGAAACAGCCAAGCCCTTCTGGGTCCTCTTTTTAGGCACTGCCTTAGGATATGTCAGCAGGATCATGTCCCTGAGGGAGAACTCTGGAGATGCCTCGAGTTGCCATGGATGGAGTTTGCCTAAATTGGGACTAGGCTCGCTAAACCCTTGGTTATGGTCTCACATTTCTGCCACATTATCCAACCCAACTTTTGTCAGTAGAAAAAAGAATCCATATCTCTGTTGGTTCTGAATGCAGGAAGAGAGCGATGAGTGTTATTTGGGGCCTCTCAGAATAACTATTGCTGACAGCTATTAAAACCACCGCTAGGTCAGGCACAGTGGCACACACCCATAAACTCAGCTGCTCAGGAGGCTGGGACAGGAGGATCCCAAGCCTGAGGTGAGCCTCAGCAACTTAGCAAGACCTTGTCTCAAATTCAAAAATAAAAAGGACTGGGGATGTAGCTCAGTGGTAGAGCACCCCTAGGTTCAATCCCCAGTATCAATAAAATAAAACAAAATAAAACGAATCTCCATGTCTTAACTCTACATAAGGTTTGCTTTAGAGAGCTTGGAGTGTAGCTCAGGGGTAGAACAACTTGCCCAGCATGTGCAAGGCCCTGGGTTCAATCCCCAGCACCATAATAAACCAATAAGCCGTTTTATTTTCTATTTGATAAAATCTACTGATGGTTTTCCTGGTCACGAAGTTCTGCTGTAAAAGGGCAACTCAAAGACCCAGTTTGCTTTATATTGTGTCTTCACCACTGTCTGACTTCAAAGTCAGCCTGGAATGTGCAGCCATGAGATGTGGAAGGCCTAAAAGTTCACACCGCAGAGTATTTCATGGTATGAATGTCCAGGCCTGGAAATGTCATAGATCTCTTCTACCCACGCTGCTGGGCAAGGCCAGTCACATGGCCCCACTGAGGTACAAAGGAGACTGGAAAATGTGGATTATTCAGTGCCCAGAGGGGAAAGGACAGTGGGACGTTGGTGAACTTTAGCATTCTCTGCAAGGTCTCATCATGGTCCAATCCTGCATCTGGAAGACAATGATTTTGAGAATCAAAGCATGGAACTTAGTTGCCCCCAGCACAGGGTCATTTAGTAACAGAGAGGGAAGAGAATCGGGCCTCACAGAAACAAAACAGAAGAGAAAGGAAGGGCGGGTAAACTCCAGAGGGCCCTAACCAGGAGAGGCATCCCCCTGCATCAGGGAGCTGAGCACCTGGCACTGGAAGAGGGCGGGCAGGGACTGACAGCGTGGTAGAGGCGATGGGAACCGAGGCCCCCCCAGGGGGCTGGCCGGAGCAGCGATTCCCACACTGCACCTTCCAGGCCCTTTCATAATTTCTCCCTTTGGACCTCATGTTTTGAAAGATCGTGTGTCACAAACAAACTGCGCTTATTGAGCAATAACAAATACATTTCCCCACGTCTTATTCATCAAGGTTGAGCACGCGTGGGCGCGCCTGTGTGCCTATACACGACAAAACACAGACCTGCTCACTTTGGGCACCTTAACCACCATGGTTTTGACCTGCTGTCCCTAAGCCGGCCACATTCGTGAGGCTACCAACAACCAATTCCCTCTTCTGACAGGCATCGAACTCCTGCATCGATGATTTAATTCCAGCCAAACCACCACAACAAACAAAACTAAGAATTTAGTTACCCTAAGTTGTCTACTGTGGGGTGAACTGACAATTTTAAATGACATTACTGAGATGCACTCCCAGACCCACGGTACCCTTCAGGGCGGCTAACTCAAGAGTCTGGGTCCTAGACCAGCCTCTCCAAGCCACTCCGTGCTCAGCACTTGCCACTTCTTCCCAGCCGACTTCCCAACAGACAATGTCGGTGCGCTTGGTCCCGCACCTAGTAGGAACTTTCTCAAAGACAATGTCTCTGTATTCCCCTGCCTCAAAACTGATGGACTCGTGGATGAACAGGATGAACTTCACTGTCAGCTTTAAGGTCAGGCTAGCCGCTCAGAAGAGAAGGAAACGGGCGCCTGTCTCTGAACCCAGCAGTGGCTGAGATCAGAAAGGAGCTGTAGGTCCCATATCTGGGGTCTTCCACTCCCCAGCCAGATGTCTTCACGGCATAGACCACTGCAGAGGGGGTCCTGGAGGGCAGGCGCTCTCTTGCATTGCTCTTTGTGTAGACAGCGGCTGACCCAGAGCCTGGTACCTAGCTGAGCCTTAGTCAGTGTTTAATTCATGAGCAGGGCCCCCTCTCCAGGGTCAGCTTCCTTCTCCAGCCCCACTCCCCGGCTGTGCCCGCGCCCTCCCCGGCCGGCTTCCTGCCCCACACGTGGGATAGTGAACTACAGTCATGAAACCACGGTCACTCCAGGGCTCATCAAATTCCTAATTTGGACCTTAAAAACAGCTTTCTGGCAATAGGGCCCCACGTTGGTGTGGTGGCCTTACCTGTTTTGTATGTCACGTCTGGTTCCACTGAGACCCTGGAAGGAGAGCCGCAGGAGCCGGTGGCCTCTCCCTGCCCTTCTCAGGCCTGCTGCTCAGAGTCCTGGCAGCCGTTAAGGGACCTTCCCCTGCCCTCCCGTCCCCTGTGACCCCCAGGACCATCCAGAACACGGCATCCCCCATAAGCAGGAAGGCCAGTAGGATGACAGGAGGTCCTCGCCCTCCGTCCTTGGAAGACTTATTTCCACCTGTAAACAGTTATTTGTGGATGATTCATTTTCTGTCCCCGCACTAGACTGTAAGCAGGGACCATCTCTGTATTGCCACCGTGTGTCCCCGGTGTCTAGCCCTGAGCCAGGGACCCGGGAGCTGTTCACCGTGTGTTTGGCTAGTGAATGCATGGACGGCTGACCAAGCACACTCTGCTCTGTCCAGCAGAGGACAGTTTAGAGCACTGTGGCTCCCCACTTTGCTCCAGGGTAGATTATGAAGCACAGGAATTAATATCCCACTGGGAACGAGGACAGCCAGGATGTACGGTCCTAGTGGGACCCTCATTGTGTGACCTTGGGGAGGTCGTCTAACCTCGAAAGGCCACAAATTCTCCCTCGAAAGGCCACAAATTCTCCCATATATAAGTAAAGGAGTCAAAATTGGTCAGTTGTCTGCAAACTACTTTTTAGGACCCAAGAGATCCACAGAAGTCCTCAAAAGCCACGGCCACATGGGTGGGGACCCACATCCTAGTGCTCTCTGCCCAGGGGATCTGCTTTGAACTGAGAGATCTCAGTCCTGGAGCCCAGCGTCCAGGGTCTTAACCACAGTCTGTGCCACAGGGCCACAGCACAGGATGCAGGCAAAGTCCACGGTGGCAGGAGGGTCTCCGGTAGTAACCAGGGAGGTGGGTTAATAAGACAAACTCATATTTTGAGATTTTTGAGCGTTTTTGTTCTGTTTTGTTTATTATTATGATGATTCTTGTTGCTTTGTTTTGCTATGCCGAGGATCAAACCCAGAGTTTTATGCCTGCCAGGCAAGCATTCTACCACTAAGCCACATGCCAGCCCCAAAGTTACGCATGAAGGACTCTGAGCAAGAATACAGGAAGGCTTTTGAAGGTGACAGTTTAAGAGGCGACATTTTTTTTCTTTTTCTTTTTCTTTTTTTTTTTTTTTTTTTTTGGTGCTAGGGATTGAACCCAGGGCCTTGTGCATGTGAGGCAAGCACTCTACCAACTGAGCTATATCCCCAGCCCAAGAGGTGACATTTTCTGACAGTAAGGCTGGAAATATGGGCAGGATCTCCCCTGGAGTAGAAGGTAAGACCACCATTCCAGGCAGAGGCCAGGCCACAGCAGAAAACTGGGAGGGTCGGTGTTGTGATCCATGTGCCTTAGAAGGTAATTACCTCTGGAAAGTAGAATTAGGAGACTCAAACAGGAAACGTGACTTTTCATGGTACAACATTGCTTTTGAATTTTTACCATGTGCATGTGTTATTTCCTTAATGAAAAATTAATTTTCATGGGCCAGGGCTGTGGCTCAGTGGTAGAGTGCTTGCCTAACATGCGTGAGGCACTGGGTCCAATCCCGGCACCACATACAAAATAAACAAATAAAATAAAGGTATGGTGTTCATCTGTAACTAAAAAAAAAAAATTTTTTTTAATTAATTTTCAGTCCGGTGCCGTGGTGCATGCCTATAACCTCAGCAGCTTGGCAGGAAGATTGCAAGTTCAAAGTCAGCCTCAGCAACTTAGCAAGGTCCTACGCAACTTAGCAAGACCCTGTCTCAGCATTTAAAAAAAAATTTAAAAGGCTTATGATATGGCTCAGTGGTGAAGCATCCCTGGGCTCAATCTCTGGTACAAAAAAACAATGATAATAATAATTCTCAGGTTTATTCACCTATAAATTTGTTCCATTCATTAATTTTAATGGAGCCTGCACCATGGATACAAAGTCCACTTGTTAATCATTCAGTTGACACTGAATGAGGGTTTTGTGCCCAAGAGGTGCTGACATTACATATATCCACAAAGGAAAATAAGTCAGATACCTGCCTTCCAGAAGTTCCTACCAAATGGGATAATCAGTCAAACAAATGTTTACTACAGGAAAAATCCAGGGCCATGATTGAGGGAAACCCTGGAAACTGGGACTACAGACAAGGGTACCTAACCTAGACGATAGATCAAAGAAGGCTTGCTTTCTGGAGGAAGTTCTACCTGCAGTAGGTTCTCAGGGATGAATAGAAGTTAATTTCAAAAGAGGCACGGGAAGAGTTTTTCAGACATAAAAAACAAAAGACATTAAGTGACATATTGCGACAATATGGAGAGGTGGACAGCTGTATTAACAATCACACACCTTGAATAAATGTTTTTAAAACATCTGCATAATGAAATACTACACAGCCATAATAAAGGAAAGGGGAGCCTATCTGAATCCAGAGTCAGTTTGGCAAAGTGCACAGGAGTGTGGGCTCTGGAGCCAAATACTGGGTCTGGTCCAGATCCTGGCTCCACCACTTCTTATCTCTGTCTTGTTCCTCAACTTTTCTCTGCTTAATTGACTCTTGGGCATAAAACCCTAAAAAATGAGAATAAGGATAGCACCTTCCTCATAGGGTCCCAGTGCTAGAATAAAATAATGTACACGAAGTCCTTATCCAAGTATGTGTCACAAACTAAGCATTCAGTAATGATGTTGATGCTCCCAGGGGCTGATGTCTAAGTTACACTAAGTCCTTTTTCTATTTATCACATAATCTCATTTTAGTGAGCAAGGGCTTTGCTGTTTAGTTCACCAGTATGCACCTCTCAGTGCATTAAGTAACTATTGCATAAATTAAGTCCTACAAAAAGAAAATCACATATAGCCTTTGCTATAATATGCATTTAAAAAGAAACTGAAATGATATCTACAAAACCTTTCACAGGTATTGTCTCTGGAATGGCAGGATTTTGAAGGATTCGCTGGGCAGATAACTGGTTCAAGGGTAGGTGACGGTTTCAAGCTTTATCAGCCATGTGGTTCCTAAACAAAGTTGGGATTTTTCAAATTTAAAAAAAAAAAAAGCAAAGATCCTGCAGCAAAATCGTCACCAACTACTTACAAAAAGCCTTATTTCCTTTTAGAGGAAAGTATATGGGCATTGAGGGCTGGCTTCTGGAGAAGACAACAGACCCTCCATGATACCAAGAGCAGCCAAAGCGCCCCCTGGCATAATCCCTGTGATTTCCTCACAAGGTGATGTCACATGCACAGGGAATGATTGAACTTCCCAAGTTATTTATATATCTTCAAAACAAAGCCATTTCTTAAAAATCAGCCTGAACCTTTCTTTTTGGACCCTCCTAAGGCATGAAGAAGCAGCACCCACCTACCACCAGGGGCTCAGCCCTCCCAGGGGGTCTCCCGTTCAGGCACGTCATCTCATTTGTCCTCGCAGCAGTGCTGAAGGTGGGTGTGCCTACTCCAACTTACAATGGATGCCGCTGAAACACAGAGAAGTTAAGAGGCCTGCCTAAGATCACACAGCCATGGTATCAGAGCTGTGCTCTGGGGCCTGGTCTTCTGCCTCCAGACTCACCTTCGTCTCTTCACTGCATGTGGGTGGAATTAGAGGGATTTCCATGGAGCGTTCCATCTCTCCTCCAGCTGATGGTACAGCAGAACGGCTCACGCTCACTCAGTGAGCGCAGGCTGCAGGCCGGACGCTCTTCTGAGCTCTTGATGCCTGTGAATTTATTTGTTGCTCACCACAAGCCTGAGAAGTGGGTACACTCATCGTCCCCCGTTTACCAGTAAAGGAAGTAAAGCATAGAGAGTGAAGCAACCAGGATCACCCAGCAAAAAAGCGACAAAGCCAAGTGCCAACCTAGGAGAGGTGGCTCCCAATCAGCACCTCTGGACCAAAAAGCTACACACTAGCAAGACCCGCGATGAGGCTATCAGCCTGCGAGGCTCCAGGTGCGAAACCCAGGAGAGTCTCAGCAAACGGGAGCCCCAGGTCACCCTCCATGGGGACACCCGCAGGCCTCAGGCCACATCCAGTTTGGAACCACAATACTTTGAAATAAGGTCACACTAACATTCAAAAATCAGGAGGCAGCATTAAAAAAAAAAAAAAAAAAAAAAAAAACTCTATTTTTGGCATTTCTTAAAAATTCAGGCGCTCCTGCCCCCTTGGGGTGCGGGCACTCAGGGATGGCCAGGCAACAGTCCACTCTAGCGCTGCTCGCCCAGTAGCCGCTGGGTCCTGCTGTCCTGGCAATGATCATCCTGGGTCCTCTGCAGCCCTCGCCCCCTGGGGCTCCTGTGCCTGACCCCAGCTGTTTGACTCATTCTGTGCCTGACCATTGTGTGCACTGGAGCGTGTGGCCTGGCTTATCAGCATCCCCCTGGCTCAATAGAGGGAGGCTCCCCACCTTTCCTGCCCCGTGAGTCACCTGGGCACTTGGACGGCTCTGGAGTGCGCCTCAGCCCAGTGAGATCAGAATCTCTGCAAGTGGGTCTCAGACATCAGAATGATGCAAAAGTCCCCAGATTCCAAGGTGTAGCCAAGATTTGGGGTTTCTCAAAACCCCCGCACGCCGTGAGTCGTCAGAGCTGCTCAGAAGGCAGATCTGAGTCCGTGGGTCAAGTTGGGGCCCGAGGTTCTGCATTTCTAGCCAGCTCTGGGGGGATGCCACATTCCCAGGGACAGCACATGAAGAGGCAAAGGGCCATAAGACAGTGCTCATTAGTATGTGCTCTTCCCAGCCAGCGGGCTGGCCTGGGCAGCTCCTGTCTCCTCAGAGACAGCAACACATCGAGCAGCCCAGGCCCAGAGAGGGACAGCGAGTCACACGGAGTCAAAAAGAACACCTCGTGGTGCACGCCTGTAATCCCAACAGCTCAGGGGGCTGATGCAGGAGGATCCCACATTCCAGGCCAGACTCAGCAATTTAGCAAGAACCTGTCTCAAAATAAAAAATATAAATAAAAAAGGGCTGGGGATGTGGCTCAGTGGTAAATTGCCCCTGGGTTCAATCCCTGGCACAAAAAAACAAAAACAAACACCTGAATTGCTGTTTCTTCCCCGCCAGGCAATGTCACCACCCATCAGGATCACATCCTCCTGGCTCACCTTGGGAGGTGAGGCCAGGGTGACACTCCACTTGGTAATGTCAGACGAGGGTGAGTGGCAGTCCTCTGTGGCAGAGGGTCCCTGAGGCAGTGGGGGAGGCACCAAAGACAGCGCCCAGCTAGCTCAGCCAGGAGCCGGAGCTCATGAGGAGCTGAGTGGCTGCAGGACAGCCTCCCCCCTCGGTGAGGACACCGCGCAGGCCTGAGTCACAGCCTGTGAGCTCAACCCCTGGCTGCCAGGCGGGAGGGTGAGTCAGAGGGCGTGTCGCTGAGTGAACTTCTCCCGGCCAAATATGGGGCTCTGTTTGCTCCATCTTGCCATTGGCGCTGCCAGAGGCCCAAGGGCTGTGTCTGCTCCTCACAACGGCAAGGTCCCTGAGGAGAAGGGGCGACTCTCCCCCCCTCCACACCCCCCCTCCCAGACCAGGGGGTGGCACTTGGCTTCAGCTCTCCCAGGACCTTGTCACCGCCCCCCGCTCCCAACTGCTCCCCCCACCTCATTATCTGGAGCATGATACAGAGCAGTAGTAATGACATACTTTCAAATGATGGCTTTATCTTAACAAGATCCTCTGGGCTCCCATAGACACCCACAGCCCTGTGTGCTCCGGGGAGGAGCAAACAGACACCTCACCTTCCTGTATCCCTGGTGCCACACACAGCCTGGGACATGCTAGATGTGATTAACTACCTGTTAAATAAATTCATGGGTACGTGGGGTGTGTGTGTGTGTGTGAGAGAGAGAGAGAGAGAGTGTTTCTCTGCTAGCAGACTTTTACTTCCTCTGAGGAAATAACTTACATAGCAAACTACACACACACACACACACACACACACAAGCACGTGACACTGTTTTAAACATCTTCTCAACTCAGCTCGTTTAATTTGAGATTGGCTACCCATCAGTGTGCACAACTAGAATGTACCAGCACAAAATGATGAAAAAATATGTGCAATTTGCTCACTTACATTCTCAACAACCCTCTGAGGACAGCACTGTCAGAATTCCCCATTTTATAGATGAGGAACCTGAGATGCAGAGAGGTTAAGTAACTTGTTCAGGTCACACCGTTTGCAAGTGGTGAAGCCCACATTCCAATCCCAGCAGCTCACTCAGCCTCCACTCTGGTATTTTTCACCGTATTTGACTCATTTCTGTATCTTGGAGACTCAGCACAGTGCCTGGCACATGCTAGGTAGTGCCAACCGCTGACTAAATGAATGGAATAATTCTTAAATCACCGTGTGTTTACGTGCATCCGTCTCTCCCGCTCAGTACTGAATTTTGTTAGGGAAGCGCTGGCCTCGCTAGGGCCTCCCAGGGCACGGCACTCCTAAACACCAGGAGGGCTTGACTGATGAGTCCTCAGCTCCCTGACTTTCTAAATCAGCTCTTTCCCACCCAATTCCGTCCCACAATCATGTTTTTCAAAGGAAAGAAAAGCGCACGTTCATCAACACTGCACACAGTGGCCGGCTCCACACAGGCCACTCTGTGGTCTTGGCCTAGTTACCAGGTGTCTAGAGCACAGAGGAGCGGGAGAGGGGCCCTGGGTAGGGACGTGGTCAGGGTTGCATGAGGTGACCCACGTGAGAGTCTAGTTCAGCTCCTGGCCCACAGCGGAGCATCAGCAAATACAAACATATTGTTATTGTATAGGACCCGTTCCAAACTGTAAAGTGCACATCACAGTTTAATGCAGGACAATATTAATCTAGCACATAAAAACTATGCTCCTATTGACATAAATCAACCAGCAGTGACATTTCTACAGGCCCAGATGCTCCTCTGCCCACCTCTCCATCACATTTTTTTTGTCAGCAGCATTTGCATCTTTCAGTAAGATTTTTTTAAAAGTAAATAACTTCTTCCCTCTAGGCTATTGATATGCCAGCATCAATCATGGTTTCTTTTTTGATCCCTGGAATTATTTCAAGGGCTTTGTGATCATCCTTCACAAAACTTGCTAAGAGCCTACAGGGCAAGCCAAACAGTAGGGCAGATAGTGATGGCATTGAATGACGGAAATTTCATCACCCTAGGTAATGCCTCAGTGGACATCTGGAACCAATACAGAGGCAGGACAGATGCTATCTCCAGCTGAGATCCTGCACAGGATTTCAAAGTGGTAACATAAGAAATAGCTACAGTACTGTATCAGCCAAACTGTGCCTTCAAAGTACAGAAAGTTCAAGGCAAATTACCAAGGATAGAGATCCTGGATAACAGGCTTTGAAGGCCCGAGTTCAATAGCATTCTGTTCCTCGGATTGATTATGCTGCCAGGAAAGTTTAGCAATAGGAAAGAGGACCTTCTATTTCTATGAGAAGGGAAAAAAAATCTGAAAAACTTCAGAAAATATGAAATATCCAATGACATAGTGAGACTATTAAGGGAAAAATATCACCTGCTCAGCCAAAATACTCTGAAAGAAAGAGAATTAAGTTTTCTTTGTTTGTTTTTACACATTAGAACATTAAAGCCACAGTCCACAGAAACTATGCAACTCCTAGAAGAAAACATAGGGTCAGCACTCCAGCACATAGGCACAGGCAACGACTTTCTCAATAGGACCCCTAAAGCTCAGGAAATAATTCCAAAAGTTAGTAAATGGGATGGCATCGAATTAAAATGCTTCTGCACAGCAAAGGAAATGATTAGAATGTGAGGAGGAAACCCACAGAATGGCAGAGAATCTTTGCTAGCTACTCTTCTGACAGAGGATTAATATACAGAATATATAAAGAACACAAAAATAAATGGGAAAATGGACCAAACAGACACTTCTCAAAATAAATACAAATGGCCAACAAATATGTGAAAAACATGTTCAACATCATTAGCAATTAGTGAAACGTAAATCAAAACTACCCTGAAAAAAAAATAAATGAAATTTTTAAAAATAACCAAAAAATAAATAAAATAAAAAAACTACCCTGAAAGTTCATCTCACTCGAGCCAGAATGCAGTCGTAGAGAATACAAATAATAATAAATGCTGGCGAGAATGCAGAGAAAAATGAACTCTTTTACACTGTTGGTGGGATTGTGATTAAGTACAACCACTGTGGATGAGTTTCCTCAAAACACTAGGCATGGAACCATATGACCCAGCCCTCCCACTTCTCAGTATTTATCCTGAAGAATTAAAGTCGTCTTATATGTACCCATAGCAGCACAATTCACAATAGCCAAACTATGGAAGCCGCCTAGGTGCCCACCAGTGGATGAATAGATGAAGAAGCTGTGGTGTAGATACACAATGGAGTTCAGCCATAAAGAAAAATGAAATATGTCATTTGCAGAAAAATGGACGGAACTTGAGACCATTATGTTAAGCAGAATAAGCCAAACGCAGAGGTGAAGGATCACATGTTTTCTCTCATATGTGCAAGCTAGAGAAGAAAAGTAAGGTGGGGGTGGGATCTCATGAAAATCAGAGAGAGATCAGTAGAGGAAAGGGACCCAGGGGTAGAAAGTTGGGGAGGAAGGGGGGAGGGCTGGGGGGTGAAATTGGCCACATCATATTGTTATGTTATGTGCATTTACAAATAGGCAACAATGAATCATAACATTTTGAACAAAAATAATGCACCAAAAATATGAACAAAATAAAAAGTAAATAAAACCGGAGTCAACAAATTATAACCCACAGATCAGGTCTGGCGAGGTACCTGTTCGGGGCAATAAAGCTCTATTGTCACACGGCTGTGCTCATTCTTTTACACAGTGTCTCTGGGCTTTTGCACGGCAGTGCAGAGGTGAGTGCCCACTGAAAGGACTTCACGGCCCACAAAGCCTAAAATACTTGCTCTCTGGCACTTTCCAGAAAATTTTTCCAGTCCCTGGCTTAACCCAGGAATCTTCGGATTCTGGAAAGCTAAACAGTATTTAGGAGTAGCTCTGAAATCAGAGTGATGCATGAAAGAAAAGAAAACTATTCCTTTTACAAATATTTAAAGAGGACTTCTGCATGCCAGGCACTGTTCTAGCCATGCAAAAATAAGAATAATAATAATTAATCGACTGATGAATTGTTTAAAAAAAAAAACCTCCCTGCCCTCATAGAACCTTCGCTGCCTGAGGCCTCTCCCCATGGTTGTGATGAAAGTAGACATATTTTGAAAGTGAAATCTTTAAAAGAACAATGAAGAATGAAATGTTTCAGGGCATTGAGAATGAGATCAGTGTTTCCTCAGCTTAGTCAATAATCTGTGGCGAGCCAACTGAGGGTGTAGTGAAAGAACATTTGTCAGAAGAAATCCAGGAAGACCTCAATGCCCCGTACAAACAGAGGCCGAAAGGTCTCATCAAGGTTGAGGGAACACTGGGATCAGCTGGCCCAGGGTTGCAAACGTAGATCTGCAGCAAGGAATCCACTTTAATGAAATCGCTGCCCAGGCCTATCTTGGCATTGCTTACAGAAGCCGGAAGTCGAATGGATTGCCACAGCACTAAAGAGAGCTAAGCTTTCCAGATCCACGCAGGTGTCTCCAGGTTGGGAGTTAGTAGTAAGTTTGGGTCTGTGAGCAAACAGAAATAAAAGGACTCCAACAACTTTCAATACTATCAACTCACACATGGGAGAAAAGACTGACAACTTTTTCAGAATACTTCTGTGCAGAGCAGAGATGCAGCATGCAGGAAGCCGTGCTGTTTGCTGACACCATTCTCTGGCTGTCCGCCTGTGTCGCATCCATTTGGGTGTCATGCCCTGCTAAGGTTATGAGACCCAGGAAACCGCATGAAATCATTCTTTAAAGAGCGAGTATCTGGTAAATCAAGCGGGATACTGAGTTTAATTTCCAAATTTGCATTGATCTCATCTGCATCACATAACAAGTATCTCAGGAATTCTCTCAGAGGGCTTCAAAAAGAAATTTTCTCTATTCACCACTTTCTCTCTCTTCATTATTTATCATCTGAGTAAAAATGATTACCATTTCAAAACTATTTAGGGCAAAGTAGAAGTCTCACACCAAAAAATGATCACTGATGGTTTTGTCATTGAGAAATCATCCTTTCAAATGAGTACCCCCCAAAAGTCGTGGAAGAAAAAAAGATCTTGGAAGGGTAGCTAGCCCTTTTCCTTTCCTTTCAGAAAATAATTCAGCAGTAGCACTTACTACTAAGGATTGGACTCTTAGTTACAAAATTAAACTGACATGTTAAAACATGGCATAAAAATACAAATTTTGAGGGCTGGGGTTGTGGCTCAGTGGTAGAGTGCTCACATAGCCTGCTGAGGCACTGGGTTCGAGCCTCAGCACCACATAAAAATGAAATAAAGATATTGTGTCCACCTAAAACTCAAAAATGAATATTTTTTTAAGAAAAATACAAATTTTGAGATTTTCTATATGTGTACAGACACACACACATACATACACCTACATGGCTGTGGACATACATGAAATAAGACATTAATGAAGCAACAGGCAAATATTTTCAGGAATACGGAGGAATATGGCATACATTATTTTCTTTTTTTATTTTTTAATTGGTTCGTTTTAGTTATGCATGACTATAGAGTATTCTACAGCATAATTATAGAAGCATGGAATATAATTTCTTTTAATTCAGTCCCCAATATTTTCCCTTCCCCTCTCTTCCTTCCACCTCCCATTTCCTTCCCTCTACTCTACTGATCTTTCTGCTATTTATTTATAATTTTGTTTATTTTTACTTAGTGTCTGGACACTAATGATGGTGAGATTCACTGTGGAATATTTATATATGTACACAAGAAAGTTAGGTCAGATTCCTTCCACTGTCTTTCCTTTCCCCACCCCCCTTCTCTTCCCTTCATTCCCCTTTGTCTACTCCTCTGAACTTTCTTCTATTCCTTTCTTTTCATCCCTCCAATCCCTACTTATTTTGGATTAGCTTCCACATATTAGAGAAAACATTCGACCTTTGTCTTTCGGGGACTGGCTTATTTCACTTAGCATGGTAGTCTCCAGTTTCATCCATTTACCTGCAAATGCAAGAAATCCATTCTTTATGGCTAAGTGTCCGTTGTGTATATATACATCACATTTTCTTTATCCATTCGTTTTCTTAAGAAGGATGCAGTGTGATTTTCCTCCCTCTGCACCTGCATAGCCAACACATGAGCGAGTGCCTGAGGTCTTTGCCAGGGTGCTGCCGCGGCCTCCAGCCATTCCCCACTGCTTCCATCCGTCAGTTGGTGGAGCAAGCAGGAATGCTCGATCTTACTCCACAGTGTCTCTAGACATAGTGTGCTGTGCATTGGCCTTTGGTGGCTATTAAAAATGGCTCAGTATGGAAGGAGCCAGGGGAATCTGAAGACGCTGAGCATGCAAGACGGTGTTCCATTAGCATTACCTGCTCAGATGGCTGCAAAGCTGTGGCCTGAACTCTAAATTCTCAGGCATGCCACGCTGATGATAATTGGCTGCTAATCCTAGGAGAGGATGGTGACATGATAGAAATTGTCATGTTTGTATTAATATTTTCCTGCATAGCCAAAGGCTTTTGAAAACCTCATTTGAACTTAATGCTTTAAAATCTCCCACAAAGCTCCTCACTTTCGTAGTCAAGGTCCTCTGTTATGGAAATCTGCCAGTCACGAGACTCGGGCATCTGAGTCCCCAAACACAACTAATGAGGATCCACCATCGCGATGCTCAAAGGCTGATTACAGAACGACATTTCACAGATGACAGAACTGACCTTTGCGAAGGCTCTCTCTGCACCTGGGGTTTCCCAAGTCGCCCTAAGGGAACGGCCTTAGCAGGTATCTCACAGTGCAGATTTGTGCAAGGGTTGTTTGTTTACACAAGGGCAACCTGCCTCTGAGTGGGCCCTGGCGTGACTGGCCTGTTTACAGGCCCTGGAGTTGAGGGGAACCTGGGTAACACCAGGCTGTGTTTCCAGAGGGAGCCACCTCCTCAACCGTGACACCTGCCTGCCTCCTCCTCTGCCCGGGACTCTTCCTCCACGTCCCCTCCAACCAGGCTGGGTTCCTGGCCGTTTCTAAAGACATCTGTGGCCTCTGTCGCCATCGCTCTTTCTGGTTCTACTGCCCACGGCCCTCCTCCCACCACTCCGTGCTCAGACAGGGGACTGCCGCTCACCCTTCAAGCCTCCCATGGTCTTGGTTCCTCAGGAGTTCTTCCTGCCCACTGTCCCCCCAGCTGGATTGGGGACCCCTTTTTGTGCTCTTTAGCATTCCCCAGTCCTGCCATGTTAGAGAAATGATCTGGTTGTGTGAGTGAGGGGCTGTGTGCCCCCTGATGGGCAGCTTGGGCTCTAGAGCCAATCTAGGTTTAAATATTGACTCTGCTTTCCCCATGCTCTGTGACCTTGAGCAAGTTGCTTAATCTCTCTGTGCTCCTGTCTCTCCCTCTGCAAAATAAGAGTAACAGTGTAGGCAACCTTCATCGCAGTGGTGAAGGGCACTCAGAACAATGCCAAGTGCACATGAGGTATTGATTTTTATGCTCACAGGAATTGACTGTTCTCTGACTTTCTGGTCCAACCTGCACTCGACCATTTGTGACTTAACTATCTGTGGTCACAGCCTGTGACACATAGTAAATAGTAAATATCTGAGAAACAAATGAGTGAGCAAAAGAGGACACTGCCTCTGTTGAGCTCCCTGCCATAAGTTGGCCACCTGTAGCGGTCACTCAGGTTACATAAACCTGAATCCCTGTGGCTGAGTTGATTTGCTCAGGAAAGATAAACACAAGGCAGAGGAGACGTTCCTATGCTGACGTTCCTATGCCTGTGCTGAGCTGGCCCCCCACTAGCTGCCGCTCAACCCTCTGGGGATGGGCAAGTCAAGATGGCGCAGCCTTGCAGGGACTACTCCTTGGGGGTTGACTGGTTCTCATGGTACGGAGCCCACTGGAAAGGCTCAGGGGCTCATTCTGAGCCAACAGCCTCACCAGCTGCTCAACGTCCCCTCACCATCAACCGGCCGTGTCCCATGGACCAGCTTGGCTGAACCTGCTGTTCACCTGCCATCGCCTCCATACTCAAAGGCCACCTCCTCCAAAGAATGTCCAGGCTCTGGACTCCAGGATGGAAATCATTGCTGTCCACCCTGAACTTCCACAGCCCCTGATCCGCCCTTGTTCCTTCACCTCTTGGAGACTAGTTTCATTATCTGTAAAGTAGATAACAAAGCTCACTTCAAAGGGAGGCTCAGAAGAAAAAGTGACTCAAGCCCTCGCTTCATATCACAGGCATTTGCTAATTTACTCCCTTGAAGTAATTTACCCTTCTGATAATTGACCCTTCTGCTCCTTGCCCATGCTCTGAGTCATGGAGTGCAAACCCAGATTCTCTACCAGCTGGTGCTGGCCAGAAATTGCCCCATCTTCCTGCAGGAAGCCCGGAGGTTCCTGCAGCAGGAACCCTCTGTCCCCTTGCTACATGCCCCTCATTCCTAGCATAGCTCTAGATGCAGCATTCAACCCATGTTTGCACAATGCATCAATAAATCAAAACCAATTAAAAAATATATAAATGATGGCAATGAGATAAGACAGAAAGGAATTGCCTTTGAGGATTTTCTTTCATTATTTTATTTCTTTCTCATATATACATATATATATATATATATATATATATATATATTTTTTTTCAAACTAAAAATGGCCAGAGCAAATCAACTATCTTTGTTCTGAGGAGTGAATTCACAGCATGTGATGCATTCAACTTTTCATTTCTTAGCCAGAGAACTTGGACTTGGGTATACACACCTTGGGAGGAGTTTCCAGAAAGGAGTGGGTGTTCCTAAGTGTCCCCACATGAAGTGTGAACATTGGCTACCGTCAGCCACCTCCTTCCTCTTCTTACCCCATTCTGCGCCCTTCCCTCCCTGACATCCACATGTCGCCACCTGTACCCAAGGTCACCACACTAACTGAACATCACCTGCTGTTCAGAGAATCTTATGTTAGGAAGTGGGGGACAGGTGCCACTGCTGATTTCTTACAAACCCTGGGCCCAAGGAAACAGGTAAGCACGTCTAGTTTTGAGACTCAGTGATAATCATGGTCACCTATCACTTTCACTGAGTAAAAGTCCCCACCCTTCTGCTCCCTGCCCATGCTCTGAGCCATGGAGTGCAAACCCAGATTCTCTACCAGGTGGTGCTGGCCAGAAATTGCCCCATCCTCCTTATCACCAGACCTACTTGCCTGCCTGATCCAGGCCTGTCCTTGTAAGTCAAGGGCGAGGCTCGTCCCAGACAGTTGCAACTTGCTCAGGTGAAGCAATCTGAAGGCAAGCCAGGGAAGCCCAAAGCAGGTCACTTCGGTACCAGGATAATGAGGTGAGAACCCGGGAGGCCTGACCATCCCAGGCCAGGGCCCTTCTGCAGGAAGACTGTGACAGTTCCAGGCTGGAATCTCCATCTTATAGACACCAGCTCAGACACCAGCTGATCGGTGGATATACACTTAGACACCAGTAGACAGATGGATACATACAAGTCCACAACCAACCATCTAAGATGCCAGCAATTGTAAAATGCACCATTATTTTCTGTGACCTACTAAATTATGACACAATAGATCTTGATTACTTTAGAATGCATGTTTTCTATTTACTGAAGGCTTTTCAGATTGGTTGAGAGGGGCTTTTACAAATATCAGTCTCATGCGTGCATAAAAAGGAAGATGTAAGTGAGGCATTGCTTAAGGATTTCTTGAAACTTGGATATATTCAGAATCCAACTCCTCTGAATCACTTTTTCACTCAGAACTGCCTACATGCACAGTGTCCCCACCCAGTGCCCCACTCTTAGCCATCTGGACTCCAGAGATGACCATTAGAAGGATGTCGCTCTTCTTCAGAGATACCCCCAGGGTCTTGGGGTCTTCTTCCAAGGTGCTAGCATCATTCTGCAAGACTGGTGTGCAGAATGATGCATATCATGAGTCCTTCGAGTGACTGCTAGATGCAGTCACATTTTCAGACATGACAAAAGAAAAAGAATCTGTATTAAACTCAATAAATTATGGGATAATTATGATAACCAGCAAGTATTGAGTATCCCAGGAACTGTGCTAAAACATACCTTACTGTGCTGCCTTATCCCATCTCCCCTTGAGGTAAGTAATAATATCAGCCAAACTTAAATCATGCTTACTGTGCACCAGACACTGTTTAAATGCCCTAACTCATTTAATTCTCCCAACAGACCCTAAGATAAATTACATTGTTATTCCTGCTTAGTAGATCAGAATGATGATAATAAGTTACCAGCACAAGATTACCACTGCGAATTGCAAAATTGATACATGGATTCAGAAATCCAAGCCAGGCATGCTGGTGCATGCCTATAATCCTAGCACCTCTGGAGGCTGAGACAGGAGGATTCCAAGTTCAATTGCAAGTTCAAGGTCAGCCTCAGCAACTTAGTGAGATTCTATCTCAAATAAAAAAATAAAAACAGATGGGGGATGAGGCTCAGTGGTAAAATATCCCTGGATTAAATCTCCAGTACCCCCCCCCAAAAAAAATGAATTCAGAAGTCTAGTTCTAGAACCCACACTTACCCACTGGACTGTAAGTGCTAGTAATGAGCCCATTATACAGAAAAGGGAATTAAAACTTACAAGAGATAGATGCCTTGCCCAAAGATCCAATGCAAGGGCCAAGGTTGAAAGCTGTGCATCTGCGTCTAAAGCCCATGTTGGTCACAGTCTTGCCAAACTGTGCAGGAAAAACAAATGGGCAAATGTCAATCCAGATATTTAGATATCTTTTTTTATTTTTTTATTTGTTTTAATTAGCTATACATGACAGTAGAATGCATTTATGCACTTGGATATATCATACATAGATGGGATATAATTTCATTTTTCTGAGTGTACATGCTGCAGAATCATATTGGTCATGCAGTCACATATATACATACAGTAATAGTGTCTGTTGCATTCTACCATCTTTTCTACCCCCACATCCCCTTCCCTCCCCTCCCATCACTTCCTTCTTCCTAATCTAAGGTAACACTATTCTTCCCTAGTGTCCCCCACCTTATTGTGAATTAGCATCCACATGTTAGAGAAAACATTTGGCCTTTGGTTTTGTGGGATTGGCTTATTTTGTTTGGCATGATATTCTCCAACTGCAACCACTTACTGGCAAATGCCATAATTTCACTCTTCTTTAAAGCTGAGTAATATTCCATTGAGTATATATACCACATACCACATTTTCTTTATCCATTCGTCTATTGAGGGACACCTAGGTTGGTTCCATAGTCTAGCTATTGTGAATTGAGCTGCTATAAACATTGATGTGGCTGCGTCACTTTGTATGTTAATTTTAATTTCTTTGGGTATAAACGAAGGAGTGGGATAACTGGGTCAAATGGTAGTTCCATTCCCAGTTTTCTGAGGAATCTCCATACTGCTTTCCATACTGGTTGCACCAATTTGCAGTCCCACCAGCAATGTAGGAGTGTGCCTTTTTCACCACATCCTCACAAACATTTATTGTTGCCTGTATTCTTGATGATTGCCATTCTGACAGGAGTGAGATGAAATCTTAGTGTAGTTTTGATTTGCATTTCTCTAATTGCTAGAGATGTTGAGCACTTTTTCATATATTTGTTGATCAATTGTACTTCTTCTTTTGTGAAGTGTCTGTTCAGTTCCATAGCCCATTTATTGATTGGGGTATTTTTTTGTATTAAGTTTTTTTAGTTCTTTATATATTTTAGAGATCAATGCTTTATCAGAGGTGCATGTGGTTAAAAAAAATGAACTTAACTTGTGCGACCCCTCTCTCAAAGATGCAGGTAATGTGATTTCTTTGCCATGGTAGTGACTCAAAGGTCTCATTCATCTGTTTGCCTGTTTTCTGAATAACTATTTTCAAAATGTTCATTATGGGTGAGGCTCTGAGCTTGGTGCTTCAAAGAGCTTTCTATATAGCTGAGATAATGACTATACTGGTGATTTTAATCATAACCAGGAAGGCAAGGGCTTTTTACAAAACTGCCTGGAACTTCTTCTCTGCTGAGGAAGGGGATTCAGGAAGCCAGAGAAGCCTGAAGAATGATTAGGACTAGTTAATTCAAAATCAATGTATTTACATTCTATTACTTCCTCCATCTCCCTAAACCTCAGGAGAGTTTGCTCCATGAGGTCCGTGTGGGGTGACTTTCAGTGGAATTTGGGAAGTTGAGCTCCCCAGTCACATAAGTCTGGAGACAGGGAAGAGCATATGAGAGAACAAACAGAACGGGGGCTCAGGGGAGACTGTCATGCAAGCACCAACATGCATCTTTGCTGGTCTACTCACCCCAACGTGTCCACCATCTGAGCCCCAAGAAGGACGATAACTCACCTGTCTTGGTCCTTGTTGGAAACTCAGAACTTTGAAGGATGCCAGATACATAATGTGTGCTCAATAAATGTTTTTTGATTGAATGATTGGATGGATGACCTCAGTAGCCCTTCAAAATCTCTCCTCTAATGTTCCCCGATGTACCCTCAAGTCCTAGCACATGGGAAAGGCGCAGTAAAGAATTCCTCACTGACCACTTTTCCATAGCTTAGACAATTTCCTTGAACTCATTTTGAGTGAAATTACCAGAACAAGGAGAGTAGAGACAGGTAAGGCCTTGGATAGATAGGATTCAACTTCTCCCCCAAAGGAGTCCAGAGCTCATTCTGGTTATAGCGTTGTAGGTGAGTGCCTAGGACAATTTCTGCTGATCTTGCTAATACCTCCTCTACTTGCCTTCAACAAAAAGCAGAAGCCACCAAGACCCGGCTCACATTGAGCGCACCTTCAGCCATCTTACCTGGACCTTTGCAAGTGCCCCCAGGCTGACCTCCGTGCACCTGCTTCTGACTTTCCCTTAGCAGACACATGCTCTTTCCAAAGAGTGAAACCTGATCACGTGATCCCCTGCTTAAAATCCTGCCATGGCTACTTTGCCCACCTCCTACCACTCCTACCACTGGGCTGGGAGATAGTCTGGGGTCCTCCTGACTTCCCAGGCTCTGTCAGCCCATTCTCCCTTCCTGACACCCAGCTCTGAAAATGGCCCAGGTCTGCCGCTCTCCAAAACCTATGTGACAGGAGGACAGCAAGTTCAAAGTCAGCCTTAGCAATTTAGTGAGGCCCTAAGCAATTTGACAAGACCCTGTCTCTAAACAAAATATTAAAAATGGCTGGGATGTGGCTCAGTGGTTAAGTGCCCCTGGGTTCAATCCCCAGAACCAAAAAAAAAAAAAGAAAAAACAACCCCACCTGCAGCTGCCTGACCTACCTGAACACACATCCTGTGCCTCTATCAATTCAATCATGTTAATGACTTATTGGCTATATTTCTATTGCACTGTCATGGAGAATCCAGATGTCACAGATACTCCTCCAGCACATACTGTGGCTAGGCACGGACTGGACTAGTCTCTCTGATACATCATCTCACTTAATCCTCATCACTAACCTACAAGTCTGATAAGGACTTGAGACTCTGTAGGTCTCTGAAATAAAGAAAAGTAATGGCCCTGATGTCAATGAATGACAGAAAATGGCCTTTGATCCACCCTCCTGGTGCATTTACTGAACACTTACACATAACCAGCATTCTATCATAGATTCAGGATAAAAAGCAACTCCGCTTCCTTCCTTCGGTTTAGCATTGAATGTGGGGAAGTGCTTCCAGGTGTCAAATCTAAATTCCTTTAGCTGCAACTCAAGCCCATTCCCACCTCCCCACCCCCACCCCCATCCTCAGATAAGTACAAAAACAACAGTTGCCGATGAGATCGCCAAGCTTCAGTTGCCTCATAGGCCTGAGATAAGTCCCACGGAACAGGCTCCATATCTCCCTGGGTGCTGACTCCACCCAGTGCGCCAGGCTCAGCCCCTGCTCAGAGCCAGCACCCGCCAATAGCTTCAGGGGAGTCTCCTCTGAGGGGGAGGGAGGAAAGACACAGAAAGCTGAAAGCTGGCAGCTTCCCCCAGCTGCTCGCTTCTTGGGAGGTGGCAACAGGTGACATCCTGTGGGAAGATGGGTTGCCTCACCTGCACAGCCCCTCAGGGGCTCCCACCGCGGGGAGACTCTTCTTCCTGTGCAATTCCTGGGTAAACGCACCTGGGTCCCCTGGAACATAGAACCAGCTCGCAGAGGGTGACTAAATAATAGAAGAAAATGACCAAATGCAAGCCTGTGATTCAGTGGATCAATGGAGTGAATCAGAATGAATGAATAAATGAGGCCGGGCAAGAATAAACATCTAAGTGACTGAATGAATAAGCAAACAGAAAAGTAACACGACAATGAATTGACTACATGACTGACCACGGGGAAAGAATGAATAGCTAGCTGTGAGAGGCCACTGAATGAGTCTGTGGACACGGAGGACAAACAGACCGATACTGGGTGGGTAATGGGTGATGGATGAAGTGATGCCATTCACAACTTCTTAGAGGAAGGCGAGGAAGGTGAACTACCCCCCCACCCCAGATCAGTGCCCTATACAGGAAGAATTCTAGTCCGTGATTGTTGATTGAACATATGGATGGATAAATAGACATCCTCCCGACTGTCATACATGGTTTTGTCATACAAAATCTTCATTTAATGGAGACTCTTTGAGTTAGACAGTCTGGTTTTACATCCGAATTTTGTAAGATGTGGAGTCACTTGAACTCCTGGAATTCCAGTTTTGTTTTTTTTTCCTCTTACACAGTGAAGACATTCATACCTACCTCAGAGTGCTGAGGAGGGATTGAAGATTTTGTGTGAAAGCACCCGGCCAGCACCAAGCACAGGGAAGGCCCTTGATGGACAACCGTTTCCTTTCTTGCTCTCCCAAATGCATCCTCTCCCCTATTTATTCAAAGTCTACCAACCCCAGCGTCCTATGAGGTCCTGCCCTTTATGAACTCAAAGTCTTTTAGAAAACAGACATAAGTCAAAGCAACTCTACTAGGAAGTGAAATGATGAAAATGCTCATGTAAATTCTCGGAAGTTGCAACAATTCTGCTGCTTTTGACTTAAAACATCAGCAACTTCATACTTCAACTTCAACTTCAACTACAGCTGAATATAGAAATAATGCACGCAGGGACACAAAGACAGGAACAGAGGACTTGTCCTAAGGAAAGCCAAAGAGGAAAAAATGGGGTAGAATTTGAATGTGTTGCTCTATGAGTTGAAAAACTTGGGACAAGCAAATTAAATTCACTCCGCTTTAAGAAGAAAGGTACCTCACAAGGATATTGGGAAGCCCAATCGATGGCTTAGAAAGCTAAAGAACTGGGCACAGAAAAGAGAAGGGAACGCACAGATCATGTAGCCAGAACCAAAGCCAAACTCAAGCCATGCAATTACCTGCAGCCTAAACCCTTTGGTTTGGGAGAAGATACCAGCCTGGACCCCAACCACCATTATGGGTCCCACTGTCCCTGTCACCATGGAAGAAATGGATCTTGGCACCACGACCAAAGAGGATACTTCATCTTTGTAGCAGTAACTTCAAGTTCATAGCCCGGGGGAAATTCATCTAACGGTAGGAAATGTGTCTAGTGTCCAGCATTCGCAGAGGAGGCTGGTTTTGTGAACTGCTGGCCTTTCCAGATGCCGCAGTAGGAGAGGGCCCTGTCTTCCACCATCTTCACAAGGTAGAAAAAGTTTCCACACACAACAACGGCATTCCAACACGGAGCAGCTCCATAGTTTCATACAGGGAGCAAGGTTTTGTAGTAAATGGGCAAAAAGCATCACACTGCAGTTGAAAAGACAGTGAATCCTGAGAACACGGGTATTTTCAA